CCCCCCCCCCCAGTTTTCGGAAAGAGAGGTGACTTGGCTGGTAGCAGTTTGGAGCAGGTAAATCACAGCCCAGTTCTCTACCTCCCCTGGAGAAGCCTGATAGCAAAGGGAGGGCTATCCTGTCTAAGTGGTGGAGTGGAAGAATACTGTGCCTTTTTTTTTTCCTGGAGTTCATGTGGTCAAAATGAGAGTTTGCAATATGGCAGGTGTCATGGTCTGGCCTGATTTGCTATAATAAGCAATGATAAGGGGTGTGACTTTTGTTCTTTAAATTAATGTGGACTGGTCTTATGTCAGTTCCACTTAGTTTAATTCTTCTGCATAAGGAGTCTGTACAAATTTGGAGCCTGGATGAAGGACACTTTTGTTAGTCCCTGTTCTTAGTCAGGCTGTCAGGCAATTGAAGGGCTGCTTCTGACTTGTTATGCTCTTCTGAGCTCACCCTTATCTGGGAATGAAAACTGACATCAGGAGTGAAAGATCAGCCATGAGATAGGGCAACTTGCATCTCCAGTTACCTATCGTGTGCTACTACTATTAGGTTTTTTAGCTGCAGAACACAAATTGAGTCCCCTTATACACCAACTGAATGGTACTTGCTGAGGCTCTTTTGTGGGGTGAAGGGGGAGAGAGGGGTTCATGTTTTCTTTTCCCTCTAGCTTTAGCACATGTGGGTAGACGCGCTGCCTCCTGTCTGAAGGAAGGCTCTGTGAGATCATGCTCCTGTTCTGTGGCATACGAAGGAAACTGCAGCCTATTGGTTTGACTGGAAGTGGGAGCCCTAAGGGGACTGGATGAGTAATAGGTATTTGTTTCCTCTTTTGACCTGAAAGAAGTCCTCCCTTTGGCTTGTGTGGGAGCTGGCTTGAATCCCCCATGACTGATATGAAACTCAGAGTGGGTGAGAAACTGATAACCCTGGTAGATGTGCAAGTAACTTTTCTTTTATAGGTCAGGTCCGTGTTTTTATATCTGCTTGATTAAGAATTTTTAGAAGCTTATTTAATAAAGAATTCAGTCTAACTTGTGGAAAAAAAATTCCATACTGGTCTATTTAGTCTAGAAGAACCTTTTTTCCTTCTGCCAGTGCTCTCTGAAGTCTGACGGCACTC